CAAACAGACCCTGCAGACCTGTGAAAGCGTAAGATGCTACAACCCTACAGACGTCTTTGAAGCCCTAAAATTCTACCTTACAGAAGCCTCTCGATTCCCACGAAGGTGATTAGAACCCGGTTAGTTACCCTTCATTAGCCCTTCAAGTAACCCTTCTTATAGCCCTTACAGCAATCCTCTTGCATAATCTCAGGAACCTGTATTCTCTTGCTTTTCCACATGTTTTTATTTAATAAGTATAATATAAGATATTAGAAAAGTTGGTTTTAAATAATTGAACAAGTGTTTTTCGCAGCCCCTGTAGAGCCTTTGAGGCTCCGGGAGGCGCTCCGAGCTGGGCCGACCTTGAGAAGCGACTGGTGGGTGACCTGGGCCTCCTCCGTGCCTCAGCGGTGAAAAGGGCTTTTTAAGGGGGGGGGGGGGGGGGGGNNACTCTATCCGTTGTCTATAAAGCCTCCCTTGAAGGGGAACTTGTCAGGGATACTTCAAGGGTACTGAAGATCTGTGTGTGGGTTTTAGGATGTAGGGCTTTGGGGCATTGAGTTTTTAGGGCTTTCTGGTAGGCTTAGATGTTTAGGGAGTTTGTCTTCCTGAGTTTGGAGCGTGAAGGGCCTCCAGGGCAGAAATGGAGCTCTTCCCTGGCAGGGCAGGGTTTCGAGTATCCACAAGCCCATCGAAAAGGTTACGATTGCAAGCCTTTTATTCCGGAAGCAGCATACTGGAACCGAAACCGACATTTCAGAGAATTTGTCAACCCCAAAGCCCCCGAACCCCCACGCCCATATTATGCTATGATAGTACATGTTATTATAACAACATCAACAAGAAGAACAATAATTATAATAACAATAGCTTACTATAGTATAGTAGACTATGCCATACTATACTATATGGTCGTAGATGATCGTCAAAATGGAGAATATAGCATACAGCCCCTAACCCCAAAACAGAGGTGCAGGCCCCTTCTTCGAGTGTGGCCTCCTCATCGGGCGCTTCCTGGCTGGCAGCCTATCTTGCAATCTGTGTGGAGTCGATACCTGCCGAGGAGCTCGAGCTCCTTGGGCTCATTTTCAGGGATTTCGTGCTTATAGGGTTTTGGGCTTATAGGCCTTATGAGGCTTTGAGGGCTTCTAAGGTTGAATAGAGTCTATCGCTGAGAGGGTTCAGGGCTCAAAACTCCAGGATGTATGCAGGCTGCTAGAACTCGAGGTTCCAAGGCATCGGAATCTGTTTAGGATTGTGTGACTTGACATGGTCTGAACCCAACGTATGCAAGACTTTCAGTCATGTCCGGGTGCAGCATACCTGGTACCCAAGACATGCTGCAGTCTTGCGCAGCATCACATCCTGAGCTCACGCCTGAACCCTGTAACGAATCACGGCACCGACTACCAAGAGCATCCTGATCTGAAGCTTGGAGCACTGAACCAAACCTGCAGACCCAAGCATCGACGCTCGACTGCGGCTCGCGCAGGCTTGGGCGAGTTCAGGGCTTTTGATATACGGTACAAGGGATGGAATTTGACCGGTACCGTGGTAATGTGCGATATTCTGGCAACTCATGTCCAAAGCTCATAGTGATAGGATGTCAAAGGTTTAGAGTGCTATGGCAGCAAAACACAATAGATGTCCACCGAAGAACCAGAGCGACAATTTTCCCAGAAGTGGTACAAAGAAGCGAGCGCGCCACAGCGACAACTCCGCTCCGGTAAAGCTTCTGAACACGAAGTGCGTTCGCAACTGGCACCTTCTCTTTCTTGGGTCTGGTAGACAGCGCTTCTGATGTTTGGTGTTTTGCCTGGTGCGAATCAGAGTTCGCATAGATCCGCCATATTGCCTACTGTTGGTTTTGGGTTTGATGCTGGGTGTCTCACGTATCTTCCCCTTTTCTGGTTTCAAGAACCCAAAACCCTGAAACCCTAAACCTTAAGCAAACCCTAAACCTTAAGCCCTAAACGCTAGACACTAGCTCTAAACCGTGATAAGGTTCGACACATTGGACAACAGCGGAAGCGAAGGGTGGGCAGAGCATCCCCACTCGAGCTCGGGGCGGCACATCAGGCGCCAACATGGTTCTAGGAGCCACTGGCGTGCACTGTCACAGGTTTCTTTGTTCTAAGGGGCTTTCGAAAGAATTTACAGGCTAGCTTCATCTAGGCATTTAAGCTTCTTCGCCACTGTTGCATTGATTTCGAGGAATAAGTGGATGCGGGCCCTAACACCAAACAAGTTTGTGTCAACAAAACTTCTGGCGTTCCTGCGCAGGTGCTTAGCCGAACACCCTGAGCTTCATCGTATAGCCCTCACGTTCTACGGCTACCCAGGGCCGTCGCTTTGTCCAATCCGGACCTAGAGGTGCTTTACCGGGTTGAGTAAGTCATTCTTGGCTTCAGGGTGTAATCCTAAACCCTAAACCCAAACCGTTCATCACCCTCCGATCCAGAGAGTTTTCCACTTCGCAGTGGCGCATGTCTCGGAGGCATGTCAAAAGCCAGTCAACAGGCCCTTAAATCCTCAGCCCTCGAAGCCCTGGAGCCGAAAATCCTTATCCTTAACCCCCGACCATCCGATGGAACCAGGTAGCACGACTGTCGGTAAACCCCACACACTGGGTTTGGGGCTCAGGGTTCAGGGAGACTAAACCCTAAACCCAGGCTCATACTAAACCCCCCGGACTCGTAGACCCTGCCATTGGCCTGCCGAGGAACGGAGTCTTCTCAGCCGCCTTGGGCCTCCGCTCCAAAGCACCGAGCCTAGGATTCAGGGTTTAGGGCTAGGATTCAGGGTTTAGGGCTTAGGGGCGCATTCAGGACACCTACGAACTGCGTATCTTTCGCGTCTGCATCAGACTGGATATCAGAAGCACATCTGCAGGCAAGCGAGGCATGACAATTCTGAGGTAATGTTGGCCAACCGCAATCGGGAGGTTCCTCATGCGCCCTTTTCCCTGAACCCCTGAAACCCTGGGCCCGAAACCCTGAAACCCTCAATCCTCAACCCGTTAAGCCCGTAAGCCCCTAAGCCCCTAAACGGCTCAGAAAGGCACGAGCGGGAGCAGACCCCCAGCCGGCCTTCACCTTCGAAGCCAGCGAGGCCATGGCCGCCTCTTTAAAGGAAGGGTTTAGGCAGGAGGGGTGCCTGATATAGGGGTCGCGATCTTCAGGAGCCTGCTTGTGAAATAGGGGGCGCCGCAGTAAGGATCCGACTGGATTGGGAGTCACCATGGTAAGGGTCGCACTGGAGGTTGCTATCTCATGCGCAAAACTCGGAAGACTTGCTGCCGACACTGTGGTGAGTTTTCTGTCGCAACTCGAAAGACATTCTCAGCGGACTCGGCCACCTGTGCTGCTGCCAGGAGCGCTGCAGAAGAGGTTTGGCTTATTTGGAGGCCGGATGCTGCCTTCCTGCCGGCTTCAGCCCGTTCTTGAGTCCTTTAACTATGTGCATCGCTAGGCTGAGGGCATGTCCAAGTACGTTAACCTTCGCTGTGGAATCCTCTGCGAGAACATGACGGAAGAGGGCTGTCGCAGGCAGGATCTGCAAGAATCTGACAGGGAATCTGGCCATGCTGATCACTCAAGACTTGTGAATTCGAACACAAAGCCTTGACAGATTGAGACTGCGGCATTTAGATTGAAATTGAATCCGACAGGATTGAAATAGGCTTTTCTTCCTGAGTCTCCCGAAGGCCTCACAGCCATTAAGCACGCAGCTATACACAGCTAGTCATTAAGATATCTTAAGGTGAGGCCATTAAGACCCTAAACCTGGTAGCCCTGAATCCTGAAAGACGTTTCACTCAACCCTGCGCAGACATCGTATCGCCAACCCTACGGAGCAAAAGAATCATTGGGACGAGGTTTAAGGCTGAGGTTTAAGGGTCTTGGAACCAACCCAAACCCCCAAGGTCCAATACGTGCCGTCAATCTGGGAAGTCGGCATGAAAGGTCAATGCAGCCCACTTGCCAATTTAGTTTTATCATAATCGTCCCAAGGTTCAGAGAACTGTAAAGTACTGTAAAGCCCTTGAGAAGACAAAGCCCTCAACCGGTCCATAACCCGAATTCAGCATGGAACCCTAAACCCCGCCCAACGAAGAGGGACCCAACCCCTTCAGGTACTTGACTGGCACGGTCTGCCCGGAACGCCTGGACTTCCTCTCCATCGACTTTGCTTTGGGCGTGCCGCCGCTGATTTATCGAAGTCTGCTCACGGCCTGCAGGCCGCGGGCCTCTTGAGCTGCAAGAACGGGGGAAACTAGGCTTGGGGGTTGTTACAGTTCAGGTGTAGGATCGATGGGCCGATGGGTGTTGACGTTTAGAGTTGATGGTTTCGAGTTGCTGGGCTGGGGCTTTGGGGATCCTCGACAAAAGTGGGGGGGGGGGGGGGGGGA